GTGGTCTCCCAGGCCGAGGCTTGAGCCAGAAGGTGACTTCTCTGGAGAGCACAATGAAGGAAAGGGAGCAGGTGCTCAAAACAGGTGAGGCCGCCATTCCCTGCACCCTGGGGGGGGGGGAGTGCGTGGAGAGTTACAGGGAGGGGGGGCATGTGAGTGTGTGGAGGATGGCAGGGAGGGGAAGCGTGTGAGGTGTGAGTGTGGGCAGTGTGTGTAGGGAGGGCAGGGTGACTCCCATCTGTGTGCCCAGGTCTGTCTGAGGTCACGGAGCATGTCCAGCAGCTGGGGAAGCAGCTGAAGGCCCTGGCGTGCCAGCTGGACAGCCTCAAGACCAATGGTGAGGTGGTGAGGTGGTGAGGTGGTGAGGCGGGCGCGGGCGCCCCGGGCTGGGGGCTGGGGGTGCCGGATGCAGCCAGCCTGTGCTCCCTCTGCCTCCCAGGCTCGGCCGTGGCCTGCTGCCTCCCACCCTGGCTGCAGCATGGAGGCAGCTGCTACTGGTTCTCCCAGGCTCAGAAGTCGTGGGCCGAGGCCGACAGGGCCTGCCAGCTGGAGAGCTCACACCTGGTGGTGGTCAACTCCCTGGACGAGCAGGTGAGGCTGTGGTGGGCCCTTCTCAGCAATGCCTGTTGGGGGGGGGTCACCTTGTCCCCATTTTTTTCCTTCTCAGAAATTTATTGAGGCCCACAAGGGCCCTGTGGCCGCCTGGATGGGCCTGACGGACCAGAATGGGCCCTGGAGATGGGTGGATGGCACCGACTTCAACACGGGGTTCCAGTACGTGTCTGCCCATGGCTTGCTCCCCCGCCTGGGGCCGGCCCACCTTCTCAGCCTGTGACCCTGGGGGTGTGGGGCCGCGAAGGGACCTGACGGCTGATGGCTGTTGGCTGTGTGTTCGCAGGAACTGGCGGCCACAGCAGCCTGATAACTGGCACGGACACGGGCTGGGAGGGGGCGAGGACTGCGCCCACTTCTCTTACGACGATGGTCGTTGGAATGATGATGTGTGCCAGAGGCCCTACCACTGGGTGTGTGAGACAGAGCTGGGCAAAGGTAGCTGAGTCCCCTCCCGGCGACCTCAGTGCCGTAAGCCTCGGAGAGCTGGTCTTGGTCAGACCAAATTCGGCAATTCTCCTAGGACTTTAAAGGGCAATAAAGGAAAGCATCCGAGGTGTTTGAAAGAGCGGGGTTGCCGGAACCTTGATGCTGCGGATGGCCCATCACGGTCACGTTACTGTTTGTAGAGTAAAGCAGAGAAGTAGACGTTCTGTGTGTTTGGTCATTGGTGGTCAGGAGCTGGTGGTGAGCTGGCCAGCATTAGGACACCTCAGGTGAACTGAACTGGATGAGGCTAGAAGACCCATTTTGTTATTTCCAGCTACGTAAGCATAGGCAAGGCATTCTGCTGTCCAGACTCCGTGGTTATATGGGATTACTACTGTTGATTAACTGCCCGTGCCCCCAACACCTGATGATAGCCAGGCCCTCGGAAAAGAATCACTGTCCTTAAGACTCAGGAATGTGGTAAGGACAGTGAGCCAGGGCCCACGGGTGCTTGTGGAAGGAGCAGCAGGCACAGGCTAAGAACCTGCCCATTCGTAAGACCTCAGCTAATTACAGGGAAAAAAATATGATTCCCTGAGCACAATGAAAGAATTAGGAATGAACACAAAAGGTCATCCTGAAAGACTTGAGGCAACTGGTAATCTTCTTATCATTTTTCTAAATCATTTTGGATGCAAGAGAAAGTCAAAATGGAAAAAACTTCAAGTGATTTAGAAACAAAATATTCGATGGCCTGGAGTGATAGCTCAGAAGAGCGTGTTTGCAATGGACCTGGATTTGCTTCCCAGCATCAGCATGGCACGGCCAGCTGTGACTCCAGCTCCAGGGCAGCTGAGGCCTGCTTCTGACCCCCAAGGGCACCAGGCACACGGGCACACAGGAAAAACACTTGTAAAAGAAATAAATCTATTTTGGAAAGACGTGAAGAATGTGAGTATCCCAGGCAGCCCTCAGAAGGAAACACGTGTAGCCACAGCACATTTATTAAAGATTAAGAGCAGCTTAATTGGAATAAGCTGTGATTAAACCCAAGCAGCTCAGAAAGGATCAGGTATTGGGGCACATGCTCTAATGCTGGAAGGCCAAGGCAGGATTGGATATTTGAGGCCAGCCTAGTTTAAAAATGAGACCCTGTCTCAAAACACCAGCTTCTCCCTCCCCCCCCCAAAAAAAAGAAAAGTTTTAAATCTACATAAAAGAAAGGGACTAATAAACATAGAAACAAAATCTAATGCTTTAGGTAGAGTCTTTTGGGCATGATGGCACATACCTTTCATCTCAGCACTTGGAAGGTAGAGGCAAGCAGATCTCTATGAGTTCAAGGCCTGCCTGGTCAACATAATGAGTTCCAGAGATACAGCAATAGTCCCTGTCCTGAAAACATAAAAAAAGAGAAGAGAAAGAAAAAGGAAGGAAGGAAGGAAGGAAGGAAGGAAGGAAGGAAGGAGAAAGGAAGGAAAGCAAGCCAGCAGGCTGAGTAAGCCATGTGGAGCAAGCCAGTAAGCAGCACTCCTTCATGGCCTCTGCCTCAGTTCCCACCCTGATTTCACTCAATGATGGCCCTTGGTTGGAGCGTGTAAGTTAAATAAACCCTTCCTCCCTAAGTTGCTCTTGGTCCTGGTCTTTTATCACAACGGTAGGAAGTAAACAAAGATAGTGGATATGATCAAAACTCACTGAATAGATGCATGAAATTGTCAAAGAATAAAATTTTAAAATATTTCTAAAAATAGGCAGGCAGCATTCCTTTCTCCTCAGACATCATCTGGACAACTTGCTAGAAAATGCCACTCACTCTAAGGAAAAGTCTTCTCTCCTGAATTATTATTATTATTTGGAAATTCTCCCACAGATTCAACCAGAGGTGTGCCTCTTTGTTGTTTCCAGATACCATCAAATTGACAAGATTCACTATTACAGCACCCAAGGAAAGATATCTTCCTTAACGCATGGTGCTGAGAAAACTGGACATTCATAGGAAAACAAAACGCTATCACCATCTTTCTTTCTGTACAAAAATCTACTCAAAGCAGATCAAAGGCTTTCATGTAAGACCTGAACCTTTGAAAACCTAGAGAAAAACACTCAAGGTAGAAAAGAACTTTCTGGAAAGGACTCGAATGGCCCAGGAAACAATAGCAACAGTAGATAAATGAGATTCATGAAATTCAAAGGATTCCATGCAGCAAAGGAACCTATCATCAAAGTGGAAAATAGGCTTCGGGATGTGGGGAACAGTTGTCAGTGACTCTTTTTCCTGGAGATTAACATCCAGCATATACAGAGAACTCAAAAAATAAAAAACAAAACATTAAAAGGAAGATGACCCAGCCAACACATGAGCAGGCAAAGCGGTTTCTCAAATAATGAGTTCAGATGGCCAACAAATGTGTGGAAAATGTCCGGCACCCTCAGGGAAACGCAGGTGAGAACTCACTGAGATCCCATCTCGCACCAGTCAGAACGGCCGTGGAGGAAATAAACAACAAATGCTGGCGAGGTCGAGCAGCACTCACTGCTGACGGGAGCCATCGAGGAGGCTTCTGAACAACCAAACGGAAAAGCACCGCGTGAGGCTGGTGTGCACCGTAACGGAGGTGCTTGCTATAGAGCCAACCCAGGTGCCCACCACAACTGCATACACATCAAGGAAATCTGTTGGAGGCTTAGGTTTTTCCTCCCGGCCCCAAGCTCCCAGAATAATGACTCATGAGGCCCAAAACAGATTTACATGCCTTGGCCACGTGGCTCGGCTCTTCTGTGACTAGGTCATTGCTTAAAATAACCCATTTGTATTAATCCGTATTCTGCCGTGTATGTGGTTACCTCTGCTCAGGTGCCATGCGTCTGTCCTCCTCACATCTTCCGGCACTCTGGCACGCCTGGCTCTGTCTCAGAACTTTCCCCTGCTGTATGTCTTACCTTCTGTCCTACCCTTTCCTATGAGCCAAAGGTGTTTTATTGACAGGTGTTGCATTCATACAACACACAAGAGACTCTCTCTACATGTAGTGCTAATGGGAGCTGGCTGAGCCCGAGATACGGGTGGAGGCTTCCAGCCACTGCAGGCAAGAGAGCCCTTGGTGGACACAGGACCATAGCCCTGGCTTCCTTTTTGTCTCTGTCGGTGAGGTCAGGACTTCTGTCATCGCATGTGTCTGTCATGGTGCAGCAACCCACCCCAGGCTCCAAAGAAAGAGGGAAGACCAACCGTGACTGAAGCCTTCACAACAGTGAGACAAAACAAGCCTCCCTCCTCTCAAGGGAACTTACATTTGCGACACCAGCAGAATGCCAGCCGGAGCAGTTAAAGCCGCGTTTACTTCTTTTATTTTCACGATTTATCTTACTTTGGGTGTTTTGCCTGCATGTATGTGTGTGCACCTCGCACATTCAGTGCCCACAGAAGCCAGGAGGGGACACCAGAGCCCCTGGAACTGGAGTTAGAGGTGGTTGTGGGCTGCCATGTGGTGCTGGCAATTGAACCCGGGTCCTTTGGAAGAGCAGCCAGTGCTCTTAACCACTGAGCCGTCTCTCCAGCCCCAACTTTCTCCTTTGTATTCATTTCTAAGTTTCTGTACCACAAGCTTTGATGTGTTGTTCTTTTCATTTAGTTCATTTCAGAATAGTTTCTTTGCCCTTGTAGGTTCTTTGAGGAGATTGTATCTAATTTATTCTTGATTTTAAGGTTAACTTCATTATTATCTGAAGACACACTGTGTTTGTTAGTCAGGGTTCTCTAGAGGAACAGAACTGACAAAATAATTCTACATATTAAAAGAGGATCTAAAAAAGCGGCTTACTACAGACTCTAGTCCAGCTAGGCCAACAATGTCTATCTCCTGACAGACAGGCCAAGGATCCAGAAAATGTCCACACAAGGCCTGTGGTCTCGGCAATTGCAGTTCAGTGCTGGAGTCCGGAGGAGTCCTCGTGAGCAGCTCGTCTGTCTTGGTTGGAGTTCCTAGGGAGGGGGCTCTAACACCGTGGAGGGCTGCCTCAGCAACCGCCTGGATGAACTTGCCCATGAGAGTGAGGGCAAGCAGGCGACAAGCAGAGGCCACGGTCTTCCCCGTCCTTCAGCGTGGGCTGCCACCAGCAGATGCGGCCCAGATTTAGGGAGGGTCTTCCCACCTCGAATGACCCCATCATTGCAGGCAGGCCCAGCCTCCCCGGGTTTAGTCGATGTCAGATGCAGTCAAGTTGACACAAGTTCAGCCATCACGCAGACTGGATGCAGCTGTAATCAGCTTCATCGTGTGGAGGTCTGATTTTGGCCAGTGACAGCGTGTAGATCTGAAGTTGCATGTGGTCTGCCATGGCGATGGCTTCACAATGCCAGTCAGCTTTAGTTCCTTGAAGGCAGTTGTGAATGTCTGTGATGGTCTCTGCCTGATGCAAAAAAGAGCTTCTCTGATAAGGGCAGGAGCCACACATAGTGTCGGTGTAACACGCGTGTTTGGAATGCAGTTGGAAATTATGCTGAGGAAAGTGGTGATGGCAGCTTCTCCTCTGGGGTCCAGGACCTCGCTGCTCATGAATGTTTTCCTAGTGAGTAGGCCTTAGGTTGGTTATTCCCAGGATATCACATTCTTGGGACTGTCTTGCCATCCTGATAGTTGCTGTCATTGATCTGGGTGTGGCTACTGTCTGCGTTCCTCCCTCAGCAGCTTGCATGGCACCTTCAGACTCTGTGGGAGCTCTTCTCAGGGAGGTCACTTCCAGGCTGCCTCCTCCTGCGCCTGAAGTGTTCGGTGTCTTCAGCGACAGGGCCTTGCCTTCAAGTTCTGGGAGGCAGCCAAAGGCAACAGCAGTGGCCCCTGCTGTTTGGGAGCCTCCTGGTTTCTTCATCGATAACTCAAAGGGACATTTCTCTCACTTGGTACTGGGGTTTTTGTTAGATAGTCAATGGTTCTTGGGGTTCTCATTATCACCCCAAGTAGTGCAACCACTCAACACACACACACACATACATACACACACACACACACACACACCTCAATAAAAGACCTTGAAGACAGTGATCCCTGTCCAGGCGGTGGCCGAGGAGGGCCTGGCCAGCCGCTGCCTGAATCACTTTTGAATACTTTGTTTCCTTTTTCTTCCCAACTTCCCAAG